GTGGGTTACTATCAACAGATGTGCGGCCATCTTTGAACCGCTTATACCACATTTTGATTTGTGTGTTGCTCATATACTCATCCCCAAATGCCTTCTTCATCATATCGATGGTTTCCGCACAACTCTTTTCGAGTTTTAAGGAAAATTTGATGCAAATTCGTTGCTCCAATCCTTCCCTCATTTTTCACAACAGCAGAATGCGACGAACATAAAAAACGCTTCGTAAATAAATGCACGTTGCACGTGAACTAAGGTGTCCCGATGAAAACTGCGATATCGTGGGAGTTCGTAAAGCTTGGCAGTTGATACTCATACCCGGCAAATGACGCTAAAATTGTCAGGTGCGAAGAAATTAAAGAAGGTCGGATACTTTTGGAACAGTCCTCGAAGACAGACCTCGTATACACTGCTCAAAAGAAATATGGCATAGAAAAATTTTAGGCAAAAATTGGCCAAATTTGACTGATGATAACTCCGTGAAAAATCGTCGCAAAGTTATGCTCTTTTTTTAAAATTAAAGCTTGAGATCTCTACTTTAAGATCCTGTAGTTTGATTTTAGATTTGATGCATCCCTACCACAATAACACCGTAAATGTGAGGTCATGTTTGCAATATTGAAAATTACGAAGTCGGTCTTGCCACATTTTTTTTTTGGTGATACTGTTTACAGCAGCATAAAGTACAAACCTTTATCTTTAATTTCCAGTATGTGAAAAACCGCTACCATTTTTTTCTGCAAAGATACAGAACTACCACCATTTTTTCCCGCAAAGGTACAGAACTTTAACTCTTTCGCTTCGAGCGCCGCTTACAAGCGGCACGCACAATATGACTTGTGGGTACGAGTGTCGCTTAACAAAATTAAGCGTGCTTATACTATTAATCATTTCACATTAATATATTAACTTGTTTGCGCATCATAATTAATTCATAATTAAAATATTGTAAATATAGTAAATATTGTAAAATACTGTAGCTTTGTAAGTTATAAATGTTTATAAGTTATAGAAGTTATAATTGTACGTTATAAATGTTTTCATATCAAAGATCTAAATTATACTCATTATATTGTAGCAAAGATTGCTTTATTCAGCAAAACAGTCATTTAAGACTCAGGAAAACGCACATATATACAGCAACAACGCGTACTGCACGTATTCACGGCACGTGCTTCCGTTCAGTTACAGTACTTCGGCGGACTGGACAGCCGAAGCGAAAGGGTTAAAATGTGAGGAATACATGCTATATTAGAGCAACAATTGTTTTATTAAGCATAGTAATTATTTAAGACTTAAAAAATGTATACATATACAAAAACCACGCGCACTGTGCACTTTTCTGGCGCGTGCTTCCGTACGGTGACGACACTTCGGCGGACCGGACTGCCGAAGCGAAAGGGTTAAAGAAACCTTTGCATTTATGACATATACCGCCGGCATTAGCATTATCCGATATGAACCTCGGAGAGGTTGCTGGACAGATTTTGCACATCATATGGCTCTGACAAGAACCTTTTTTTTTGTGTGTAATTGTGTGTGAGTATCTGTGTGTGTATATATGTATATATCTTTTAGTTACAATAATTTTATTATATTAATTTTGAGTTGAATTAGGTAATATGTTTCATAAAATTAAATGATAAGTAAGAAAGAACAGGAAAATGAGCGGAATAGGTGAAATAACGGATTATACGCATTTTTACCAACTGTCACGTCCTCAATAAAGAACACTTTTTTTTAAAAAGAAATGATTTGCCGCTGATAGTTCGTCAACGACAAATACTATTTTTATTTATTCACAATTATACAAATAACTTTGGATAAACACTCCTAAACACAAATACTTAACTACCACTGGTCAGTAAACTATCGGTGAAAAATTCGTTTCGCGTATAACATTAGTCTGGCGTCGCTGCGCGTTCGCTCTATACAGGGTGTTTCGCAACTCGTGTAGGTCCCTAAAATGGGGGGGTAGCTGACGTGATTCTAAGCAAGATTTCCCTTTGCAAAAATCGGGTTTGAAGCGTCGTTTTCGAGTTATTAACGAAAAACACGGACCAATCAGAGCGCCGGGATTACGCGCGCCGAGAAGCGAGAGCCGGTCGCCGGAGTGCGAGCGCGATCAACTGAGTTTTCCTCGGAACTGTCTTAACGTCTAATAAGAAGTCTTTACATCGAAACTCAGTTAAATAACAAACAGAATAATTAAAAGTAATG